ATATGTAAAATCAATTATGCGGCACAACCACAAGCTTGAGCTTTTGGTTGAATTGATTTCCTGACATGGTATCAAAGCCTTAATGACTAAGAGATCACGAGTTTGAAACTCACCGCTACCCAATTTTAAAAAAAATTAGTGGCTCAAAAATGTCACACCTGCACGTGAGGGGCGTGTTAGAGTATATAAAATCATTTATGGGTCACAACCACAAGCTTGAACTTTTGGTTGAATTGGTTCCCTAACAAATATACGTTAAATTTTTGTTTATATAAACCTCAAATACACTAAAACGGAAGAAATATTTATTTGAATATTTTCATTTATCATTTGATAAGATAAAATATTATTGTCACATCTTATTTTGTTCAACTTTTGATATGGTTTTGAACAATGTAACTTTTTTATATAACAATTTGCGAATAAAGTAATTTTTTTTTAAAAAAATTAGATTTTGCATGCTCCTCAAAATGAGAAGATAAAAATGGACAGAGGAAGATAAAAATGCTCCTCCAAAATTCAATAAATTACACTAGAGCTCCAGAAAATTCTACATGTTACAATGTTAACTGGTGGCTACAAACTCAGCTAAATACTACGTACATGAGATTTAAATGTTAACTGAAAAAAGTCAAAATTGAATAAATACTTAGGCATTTATGTAATATTTCATGTGTTTTTAGTTACCAACTCATACTTATTAATTGTCTGATTAACATTTTAAATATCACGTATTTAGTTAAGTAGGCAGCGGCCAGATAAAAATGTGAATATATACCACTTCTGTCCCTGAGTATTTGTCCAGTTCTGACTTTTTGCAGTCAATTATTTAAGCCTGGCACTTAAAATTAAATAAAATATATATGAAATATTAATAAGATAAAATCATATTATGAATATAAATCATAAAATAAATATGATAGAACTATTTTTGTATCAATATCTAATACTCTTTTAATTATGGTCAAAGTTTACGAATTTTGATCAAGAAAAGTAAAAAATGGATAAATATTCAGGAACAAATTTAGTAGAATTTTTGGGATTCATTTGTTAAATTTTGGAGTACGAATGTCCAATCACAACTTTTTATTCGTGTAATTGTTTCTAAAAAATATTAAAAAAATCACAGTACTCAAAAAATTAATACTCCATAAAAAAGAAGTAAATCAACATTAATGCTTTTACAATCAATTAATTAACGAACAGAGCGAGGCAGTGCCATTTTGTATTTTCTCAAAGTTGAAGTGATATGGAATTATTTGTTAATCCATGTAACTAGCAATCAATATGGAATTATTTGTTAATCAAGGTAACTAGCAATCCATACGGAAGCAATTCAGTTGAGTGGCATCCATGCCCCTTCATTTGCAAAGGCACGGAAGAAAATCTCATTATTTATATGTACTTGACAATATTATACTCATTGAAAATTATCAACAAACTAAAAAAAATAAATTGTTCTATTTGTTTTATACACTATGGAGAATAATTTTTTGACTATCGATAGAAGTTTAGTCGATGATTTGAAATATATGATAGATGAGCATTTAACACATATTTTTAGAAGAATTAGAGACTTCATGGATAGTTAGTCCACTTCCAATATAGTAATATATCATTGAAGCTGTTAGGAAGTAAAACTAGAGACTCAAGCACTTTTAATATCTCCACAGTACATGAATTTATTACTCTAATAGTTAGAGATTTGATTCATCTAATGAATAAAGAGACATCATCATCGTAAAAAGAGATGAGTTCTTACTAAAAGTCCATGAGACACACAGAATCGCGACATTTGGCATGCTGACTAAGACTTTTTTTAACACCTCATGAGCCATGTCATCAAAATGGATTTTCTCATTAATTGAAACCAGTTGGATATTATCGAAGATTTGGATGGCTCTCATCCATTGGATCTATGAAATTCATTCATGACTCTCATCCACGAGATATCAGCGAAGACTCGAGGATTGATTCGAAGATTGAAATCGGTTGGCATCTCTCTTTCCTTCGATATTTTGAGCCTTCTTTGATTTCCGTTGATTCGTAAGAAGAGTTAACTTTTATGATATTCTTACAAAGTATTGGCATTCTTAGCGCTAATTACGGGGGTGTATATTGCCTTCTTCGCAGCGTGTAATCGACCTTCTTTGTGTGCAAGATTTGGTCCTTCCTTCTTCGTTTGCAGGATTTGGTCCTTCAATTCCTTCTTCGATGCCAGCGAATTGCCTTCTTCTACGCCTATAATAATCCCTTTTCTTCTACGGTACCCATAGAAACTTTATAAGCCCACTCGCTCATCTCTTACTTTTTCTTTCTACATCAATTGAAAAAAATTGACAAAATTTTATCTTCTGGGATGTATGATGGATTAAACAGCGTCACTCAATTTGGTAAGTTAAAGGACAGGGGTGATAGTAGAAGAATTTATTTTATGGGATTTATCATCAACGATGAATAGATTTATTTTTAAGGCATTGAATTTCATAATGAGAGAAGTAATGAGGTTCTATAATAATTTCATAAATGAATCATTCGGAGGGAAAATAATTGTAGCCGGAGGTGATTTTTTCTAAATTCTTCCAGTTTTACTCATAGTTTTGATGGATGAAATTGGAGGTACTACAATCAATTCTTCACAAATGTGGTTGAATTGTATGATAAAGTTTATATATTGACTAAGAATATGAGATTGCATTTATCTACACCCTCTTGCAGGGATAGAGACACACAAGTTTTTTCTGATTGGATAATCAAAGTCGAAGATGGAAAACTTGGACTAGTGAACGGTGGAACTACTAACGTTGAAATCCCACACGGATTTTTGATTCTTGAAACAAGTTATCCCATCAAGAGTATATATATTGGATTTCACTTATCCAAACTTATTAGAAAACATGAAAAATTATTCTTTTTTTGAGGACAGTGCACTATTAACACCCACACTCGAGTCTGTTGAATGGTAAATAAATTTGTCTTGTCCCTTATTCTAGAAGGTTAAAATGAATACTTAAGTTTTGATTTCTCATGCCAAGCAAATTTAGATGTAGTTGTTGAAAATGATTTTATAACACATGAAATTTTTTAATGAAATTAAATGTTCAGGGATCCTAAATCTACAAAATAGTTTTTAAAAGGGGGTACATTGAAGAACATTGACCAAATATCTAGATTATGTAATGGTAGAATATTAATCATTGAATAACTACGAAAGAACATCGTCAGTGCAATTGAGGTTTCATGAAATTGAAACTGGAAAAATGTTTACATACCCCGAATGAATTTTGTATCATCCGATTCAAGAGTACCTCTGAAATTCTAGAGAGAAGAATTCTCAATGGTCTTATGTTTTGTTATGACTATCAACAAAATTCAAGGTCAAACATTGTTTTTTCTGTATTATTTTTCACCAATTCGGCATTAATCATTGTCAGCTTTATGTTACTCCTTCACGAGTAAAGGCAAAGACATGATTAAATATATTGGTTCTAGATGATAATGGAAACCTTACAACCATACAAAAAATGTTCCGTACCCTGAAATCTTTCAAAAAATTGGAATTAAAAAAATCGAGTACACTTTCAATTATTCAAATATAATTTATTCTACTTTGTTATTGTTGTTCATTAATTAAAAATCGTGTTAGAAATATATTTACTTAAATCTGGATAATATGATACGTTGAAAAAATTTAGAATCGACAAAAACTGCATTCAATCCCGTGCATGGCACGGGTTAAAATACCAGTATCCTAATCAAGATGAAGAGGTAAAGGGAAGGAATGGGTGGTTGGCAGGGGCGGGTAGTAATGAAGAAGGAATTAATGATCAAAACCTAACATTTTGCAAGCAATAAAATTAAGAAGCCATAATTTTGTGTTATAAAGTGTACTTCATCAAATCTTCCATACCATTAATCACGGGCGGATATGGGGGCAGCTGCCCCCAGTCAAAATATTTTTTTATTTTTTTATTTTTTTAGTTTTAAGTATACTGCCAAAGTCTGCCCCTAGTGGACCAGTCTAGTAAATAAAATGCCCAGCTAATTGTCTTAAAGCCCAATCACAAAAGCAGTCCAAATAGGCAAATATTACTTCCTTCTTAGTTTATAGCAATTTTTGGTTATGGATTTAATAAAAAAGTTTGTTGCATTTTTGAATAGAGTATAAAGTGAAGTACTCCCTATTTGTAATACTCTAGTGATATTAAATATACTTCGTTATGCGTAATTCATTTAGTACTCCGTATAACACTTTGTTAATTTTGAGATACATTGTTTTACTTATTTTAAATTTGTTTGATATAAAATTAAATGAAAATCATTATAATTTAAAAGCATCTTTAAAAAATTTGGGGGCGCTGCCCCCGAACTTCCACCTTATTATCCCGACCCCGGTCATTTACAATCCTGGATCAGCGACTACCATTAATCTGTGTAAATTCCAAAAGAATTCAATGATACACCCTTTTTCATGTCTTCACCATACATGTAACATGTCTAGTGTTTGGCTGAGCTAGAAGGTCTTGGAGAGTAGGGGAGTTTCTTCTCTCTTTTATTTTTGAAATATTTATCCACTAATTTCTTCCCATTAATGTGTGTAGTTCTCATAACTTATTCACGTATGATAAGCGTATTAGACATCCATATTTATAATGAGCAATGCTAGGGGTACACTAAAGGTGTACCCCAAATGTACACCACCTACTTCTCCACCACCCATTTTTATTTTATTTTTATTTATTTTATTTGAATTTCTTGCCTTTTTTGGTGCACAAGGAGGGGGTGAGGGACAAATGAGGTAGAAATTTGGTGTACACCTATCACTCCAATCCTTTACAAACCTTTCCTCAAAGTTGCACACTTTGGGAGGCGATCATTCCTACTAGATACCTCCACCATTATCGAGTTGCTCGAGTCTCTCTCAATCGACTCTCAATTGACGCCC